GCAACTCCTCCAATGACAGATTTACATTAGGCATGATGGTAACCTAACTCATATACACAAAGGATCATCACTATATAAACACCTTCCTGTGGGATTCCCAATATCATATAACAGCCTTCACTAAATGGCGGACACAGACTGTGGACAGTGGCAGTTCTGTCCGGACCACAATCGCCGACTTGCACTGGGTTACGGCCCGCTGGCAGTGGAGACACAGGCCTCCACTGCCAACCATAACCCAGCACAGGCCCTCTCTCCGCTTCAGCCAGTGGTTGCTAGGAGCGCTGGCTTCCTAGCAACCAATGAAGTCAGACAGGGTTGGCTGCTACAACCACAATTGATCTGTAAAGCCACCCAGATAACTTGCATTAGTCAGTTGTTGTGCCGTCCCCCTTCCCTGCACCTACACTGCGGTTTTCAGGTCCCCTGCTCCTGTGGGGGATCCAGGACCACGGCACACAGTGTCAGGATGAAGAGAAGGAGCAGACCGGGGAACCTCAATTTCTCGATCTGCTCTTTGATCACTGAAGCATGTCAGAAGCCGGCTGAAGTGCTGGGTATACAGTCTATCAAGCACATTCCTGTGCTTGATAGCATTCCTGCCCTTCAATGCAGATTATCAGAGGTCTAATAGACCCCTGATGTCTCCATAAAGAGACCCTGTCACCTCCAAATGCTGTCACATGGGGGCATGTTAGCCCCTTTGTGATAGCAAACGTTAAGTGAAAATAAATGTAAAGAAAAGGTGATATAAAATGTATATAAAATACAATTTAAAACCAACCCTGTCACCCTCGCCATCTGATTCTACAACACGTGCAAGTAAGTCATTCACATGTATGTAAACGGGGTGTGGGGGGGGGGACAGTGTGATTCGCCGGGATCGGTGCATCAGTACTGTGTCTGGGAACACACACACCAGCAGTTGTGTGTTGAAGTGCAGTTGCCGGTATGAATGAAGTCTGAATGGCGGACCGCGGTATGGACACGAACTGAGTGACCGCTCTGTCTGGACCGTGATTCAGACCTCTGCTCAAAAATTTTATTCATCGGACCTTCTTGAATTTTAATTCACTAACCAACATAAAACTTCAAGATTTGTGCCAACTGGCAGCTAACCCAATAATATATATTTTTTTTTTAAAGAGAAAGTTCTAAATCTTTATGATATCTTTATTAAAACATTGTTGGTTCCTTTGTGTCCTTCCATGTGTAAATCATTATCTGCACCCTGCACCAGATTGGTGAAGCCAATATAGTATTCTGTGACAACTAGGAGGGATACAATTCTGATCTCATTTGTCACTGTTTTATAATCTATTTCTATTCCTCAATGTCTTCTCTTTATTCTTTTTCTGGATCTCTCTAAACAATCTACCTGTGTGTGCCCAGCCTATGATCCACAACTACTATTCCTCAATCCACTGAATATGCTGTTAGTGGCCATTGAGGTCGTCTCAATAGACAATGTAATACCAGGTTGCATGGAAGTGAAACTATATCAGATAGGGGCACATGCACTGCCTTTTCTACATAATGTTAGATATAGTGAAGGGTCACAGCCTTTGTCAGTTTTTACTGCTTACTGCTGCGTTATTTTTCTTTGGGAAGTTTGGAGGGAAATTACCCATTGAAGACTCACACAGCAGTAGAATCTGACAGATGCTCTAACTCAGGGGCGCCCACTATTTTTCGTCTGGAGATCTACTTTTCAAATGACGAGTTCATTGGGATCTACCAACAAAAAAAACACCTGCATTCAGGGGCGGGAGGGGGCGTGGCGGTGCATTGAGGCCAATGGCACCGCAGCCAGGCTTCGCAGGCAGGCCCCTCGCCCACAGTGCAATCGCCTGCATTAGTGCCTGTGTTCCAGTCCAGATCGCACTGGACCGGAATGAAGGCACTAACATGCCTGCGTTCCGAGTGCGGGCGATCGCACTGTGGGCGGTGCCATTGACTTCAATACAGCTCCACACCCCCTCCCGCACCGCAACGCAGGGAGTCGGCCGGCTTACATTCCAGTGCGCCCTACAGGTCCCGGTGTCCTGTCCTCCCGTGGTGCTCGTGTGGCCGACGTTGCACATGAGGTGTCCTGCACCTTTCCATCTGCAGCGTCTGACACATTCAGCCGGCAGCCGCACGAGCACCACGGGAGCATAGCCGTAGCCAGCTCCTTTTGCACCTGAGGCAAGAAAAACACAACATTTAAAAAAAAAAAATTTTACAATTTTTTATTTTATTTTCATTATTTCTTTTTT